ATCTCACCTGGGGGGGAGGGGGGGGGAGGAGGGTGGTGCCACAGAGAACTTTTGGATCTAATCCCAAAGCTGGGCTTCCCAGCAGAGAGCACCAAACTGAGGTAACATCTAGCTGTGAAAAGCAGTGGGATACTGTCTGCCATGGAGTGGCAGCTGAAAGTTCAGGCACCCTCTTACAGGGCCAAAGCACAAAAATTCCCTGTGGAGCCACCCACCTTGTGCTCTGGCAGAGGGAGGGTGAAGTGGACAGGACCTGTGAGAGCAGAACCCAGGACTGGGGACTTGGGGGATAGACCTCAGAAGGCAGACACCCCAAGTTTCCTGGGTTGAGTCATTCCCTCATGCAGTGGAGGACATCTTTCCCATATAGACATCTGCCTTGCCTGGGGGGAAGATAGTCGGACACACCCTATTGGAAAACACCTTGCCCTGAGGCCCCTTAAGAGCTTAAAAGTAATAATTAGCCTCCAGGCAGAAACAACTGCCCCACCCTGTTGGAAAAAAATAACAACTCTCCACACCTGAGGACGATTGCCTGGGGACAATTCAAGTTGGAATCCTATCAGTCTGTAGGCAGAGTTGGTCTCTGGAGGCTTTGAGTCTTTGCCTGGTCCAATTAGTCAAAAGCAGCCTTTAACACTGTCCTGCACTAGAGATGGAGAGGTGTAGAGGATCTACAGAATACATAGTCACAAACCCAAACAGACAACCAAAATGAGGAAACAAAGAAACAACCCCCAAATGGAAGAACTAGCAAATTCTCCAGAAGAAGAGATGAATGAAGCTGAGATAAGAAATTTATCTGAAACAGAGTTCAGAGTAATGATGTTAAAAATGCTCAACAGTATGAAAAAAGTTATAGTAACTATGAAAAAAGAACAGTCTGATATAAAGAATGACCTAACACAAATAAAGAACACATTGGAATGAATACACAATAGATTAGGGGAAGCTGAGGATTGAATCAGTGAATTAGAAGACAAAGTTGAGTTTTTTTCATTCAATTAGAGAACCAAAAAGAAAAAACAACAATTAAAAAACAGGAGGACAGCTTAAGGGAGCTGTGGGACGATGTGAAACATAACAATATTAGAAGAGTAGGTAGGTGTGCCAGAAGAAGAAGAAAGGGAAAAAGGAATAGAAAAGGTATTTGAAGAAATTGTTGGGGTCCAGCCCCAGCAGGTCCAGAGGTTCCCAAAGGTGTGGACAGAGTCGGCGAAGAAGGAATGACATGGAGACAGTTGATCAGCATAGCCAGGTTCTCTCTTTATTGTCCTGTTACATCTGTATTTATACCATTTGATCTTATAAGTATGCCTCTATAATCACATCATGGTATGTTTTGGGTACTCCCTTGACCTACAGTTCCTTGTTTCATGTCCATAGTTTCTTATCTGACCTTTGCCAAAAATCCCATCTCCATCTAGTTCTGTTGAGTTTAATCCTATCCATTCTATTCAAAGGTTAGGGCTAGTTATCTCCATTCCAAGGTCACTACTCTACTGTTCTGTTAAGCTACAAGGAAGTAACTAAAGGAGATTATCCTAAGTAAAGATTATGTAGTTTAATCGTGATTGTTCATAGTTAAGGTGATTAACTACTGGCCTGGCACTTAGTTAAGGGGTTTTACTGATTTATTCCCTTCCTTAGTCCTGTTAATCCCTAAATCCAGGGAAAAATCCCCACCTGGGGAAACAACTTTCTTGGGGAGGTGGTCCTGGTTTAAAACACATAGCGCTAAGAGGGGGAGCAAACATATGCCATATACGCCAGGTCCCTTGAAACATAAGCTGTGCAGATGTTTCTTCCCTGCAGCGACTGGGTCAAGCAGCAAGGGTGGACCAGCTTCCGGCAAATAATGGTAGAAAACTTTCTACCTGGTAAAGGAAAAAGTCACACAAGTTCAGGAGGCACAGAGAACCCCAATCAAGAAGAATCCAAACAGACCCACACCCAGACATATCATAATTAAAATGCCAAAAATTAAAGACAAAGAGAGAATCTTAAAGGCAGCAAGATAAAAGAAAACTGTTACCTACAAAGGAGTTCCCATAAGGCTGACATCTGATTTCTCATCAGAAACTCTACAGGCCAGAAGGGAATGGCATGAAGCACTCAAGGTAATGGAAAGCAAGGATCTGAGACCAAGATTACTATATCCAGCAAGGCTATCATTCAAAATAGACGGTCAAATAAAGAGCTTCCCAGACAAAAAAAAAAAAAAAAAAAAAATGACTAAAGGAGTTCATCACCACCAAGCCAGCATTACAAGAAATGCTAAAGGGATTGCTGTAAGGGATTGCTGAGAAGAAGAAACAGAGAGTGAAACCCAGCCATACAGAATTAAAATGGCTATAAGTAAGTACCTCTCAATAATAACCCTAAATGTAAATGGATTAAATGCTCCAGTAGAATGGTGTTGTGTAGCTGAATGGATACAAAAGCATGACCCAATTACTAGTATATGCTGTCTACAAGAGACCCTCCTCAAAACAAAAGACACACACAGGATGAAAGTGAAGGGAAGGAAAAAATTTTTCATGCAAATGGAAAAGAAAAAATAAGCTGGAGTAGCATACTTATATCTGACAAAATAGACTTTAAAAGCATCAAGCTAAGTGAAAAGCCAGTCAGAGAAAGATAAATATCATATGATCTCACTCATTTGTGGAATGAACAACATAAACTGATGAACAAAAATAGAGCCAAAGGGGGAAAATATTCTAGAATATAATAGAAGTAATCCTGTTAGTTGCAGATTTTTAATATTTCCTATAACTTCTGTGATATCGTACTATGTTAGTACAGTTTTGGTAATATTATTATACTTAAAATCCTTTTATTCTTGAAATATTAATGTTTATTGCATATAATATTATTATATGTAAGATCATTTTCCTTGAATAATTTGTGCTTATTGCATGCAACATCATATTTAAAATCATTTTTCTTGAGATATTAAAAAAGAATAACATTTATATTATAAATAATTAACAAATGGAAATAGTAGGGGCCACAGATATACTGTTTAAGGTGATATAGATTTGGAAGTGTATCTTGGAAAAGTAATTTAAAATAGACATTTTAACATTCAGATTTTGAAATTAAATAATGTGTCAAAGTAAAAGAATTACGAATAAAAAATGACAAGTGATTTTCCTTTTCAAGTTTACAAATATTCTGTAAAATGTGTGATTTGTATTTTTTAAAAAAAGACAACAGCCGAAACCGGTTTGTCTCAGTGGATAGAGCGTCGGCCTGTGGACTGAAAGGTCCCAGGTTCAATCCCGGTCAAGGGCATGTACCTGGGTTGTGGGCACATCCCCAGTAGGGGGTGTGCAGGAGGCAGCTGATCGATGTTTCTCTCTCATCGATGTTTCTAACTCTCTATCTCTCTCCCTTCCTCGCTGTAAAAAATCAATAAAATATATTTTTTAAAAAAAAGACAATATACAGATATTTGTTTAAAGTATCTTAGTCAGAACCTGACATCACTATCACTCCTCACTCCTGCCAGGGATTTTTTTTTTTTAAGCACAGGCTTTAACTATGTTTTTAATTGCTTTTTAGAAAGAGAGGAAGGGAGAGGGGGAGAGAGATAGACACATCCATGAGAGAGAAACATCATCTATCAGCTGCCTCCTGCATAGTCCCTCCTGGGGATCAAGCCCACAATCAGGGCATGGGCCCTGACCAGAATCAGACTCTGACCTCTTGGATCCTGTGTGGACTCTCAACCACTGAGCCACACTGGCTGGGCTCTGCCAGGGATTTTATGAAGGTGTTCAAGAGGCCCATAGGGATGAAAGTTCCAAAGTTGGTTTCTGAGTGGAAAAAAAGAAGAAAAGTCATTTGAACAGGCCCAAATCACTTTCTTCTAAGTGCTGGCAGGAGTCCCTCAATAACACTTTCAACTTCACAACTGAGAGAGAGAGCTGATCAAACTGCTTCCTGTGGTTCTCTCTACAAAACAGCTCTGGATCTAGGGCCTCACTGCAAACCAGTTGCTCTGAGTGGTGAGCACCCAGTTGCATATGAGCCTGAGGGCACTCTTGTCCTGAGTTCCTGTGGTCAAGGGAACACAGGTCATGGCAGCCCAGAGCAGAGCACTTATCCAAAGCCCGATTCAGCAGGTACAGCATCTTCTCACACTAGTGCGTTTTACGACTGTATTCTATTTTCTGCATTCTGCCTTCTTTGGCTCTTTTCTCTAGTTTTATAGTTGAAGATAATTTTGAAACTGCCTTCCAGCTACCTTTCTTTTGCAGACACAACTATCTTAAACACTTCTTTTCTCAAAATGTATATAGTCAATCTTGAATGACTATAATCTCAACATGTATATAGTCCATCTTGTACTTGTATATCATCCCTTACTTAATTTTCCTTCCTCAGACTAATGTCATTTATTCTGTGGACATTTTCCTCGACCAGCAGAAGTCAGTTGATGGAGGAAATGTCTTATTTCTTCATTTTGATTAATTTCTTTGAAGTGTAAAGAGTATTTTGAAAATGTTCAAGTTTACAAATGTTTACTGTGTGTGCTTGGCAGTTTACAATATTCATGATTTTCATTAAAGCTCTCTCATCGCCACAAAATAGGGACTCTTTATTGAGGGATATTTATATGCTCGGTTTGTAGAAATGTCTTTATTAAAACTCCATCATTAATATTGAAAACGTATAAAAGATTTAAACAAGTAAACTTATGACCTACTTTCATGTGTACCGTGAAGGGAAACAACATAAAAAAACTAAGTAAATCAGTTTACAAATGAGAGTACATAACTGATGCCAAGAAATAATTTCATAAAAAGCCAAAAAATAAATAAGGCAATCAAAAATCATTATAAATGTCATTTGGCTTTTTTTTTTTTAATGGCAAATATTTTTATTTATTCCTACCTAGTTGTTTGTTTTTAGTTGACTAATGTTATCTTTTAGTCCATCATAATAATTTTTTATTTTTACTCTTAAGGATTCCTATGTTTTTCCCTTAGGCTTGAATCACCAACCAGGTCCTTGATAATGGAGGCTCCTCGAGGGGTCCAGGTGCGAGCTGCTGCAGGAGACTTCAAGGCCACCTGCAGGAAGGAGCTCCACTTGCAGTCTACAGAGGGGGAGGTGAGTCCCCAGGGTAGCGGGTGGCTCTTTACTGGTGAGAGTCCTTCCTCTCAAAGTGTACGCTTATGGTTCCAGCTGAGGCATAGAGAGCTGCTTCTTAAGATAGCAATGATGACCATATTAATACTCCTTCTTGAATATGAAATTTGGTAAACCTAATGTTATTTTTTTAAGTCAAAGCTCTATTTATTCTATATTGAAAGATATTCATATGTCAAGAATAAATCGGGCATCTGAGTTCCTGTAGTTTCAAAATTGGCAGCTACACATACGAAATGTCAAGATACTATCAAGAATAAATTAATCTTTTTTAAAGTTATATTTTGGTCTTGAAAACATTTTTGCAAAAAGTTCCTTGAATGTTTGTTACTATAAAATTAATGCCTAGCTCGGCTGGCATGTTCCCGTGGTTGAACATGGACCTATGAACCAGGAAGTCATCAATTCCTGGTCAGGGGAGAGGCCCAGGTTGCTGGCTGATCCCTGGTCGGGGTGTGCAGGAGGCAGCAATCAATGATTCCCTCTTATCATTGATGTTTCTATCTCTCTCTCTCTCTTCCTCTCTCAAATCAATGAAAAAAATATATATTTTAAAAAAATAGTACCTATATATTTTTTAAAGGAAAACAAAACAAAAATTTATTTTACTATTTAACCATATTGTTATTTCCTGGGTTAGGAGATCCTCTTTAATAGTTTTTTTCCGTTCACTTTATTTCCCCTAAGAATCTCCTTTAAGTCTATTGTCATTCCTTTAAGACCATCTGCTTTTTTTCACTGTCTGCTCTAAAGAACCTTTTGCCTTCGGTCTCTCCCTCTTGCACTCTAATGCAATAGACACCATTTATTCCCTTTACCTTATTGCTCTAAACATGTGATTGTTGTGTCTGCAGAGTCACATTTTTGTCAATTCTGGCAAATTACTCAGCAGATGTCTTCACCTAGTACCTCTCCTCATTTTCTCTGTGGCCTTTTTCTGGAACTCTGAAGAAAGGCTAAGACTTTGCATTGTTTTGCCCTAAGATCCCTTAGCCTCTCCTACTTTCTATTTCTTTGCCTCCCCGTGCCCCACTCTGTTTATTTATTCAGATCTGCATGCCCAGGTTCCTCTTCAGTATCTTATCGCACACTTAATCCCTACATTGAGCTTTTAATTTTAGTAATTATGTTGTTCATTTCTAGGATTCTCATCTGTTGTTTTTTCAAATCTGCATGGACATTTTTGTAGTTTCTCTTTTGTGTGCTTGTTTGTTTTTAATTCTACCTTAATTATTTCAAAGCCTTATACATAATACATATCCTATTCTGTATATTTCTACTGTGACTCCCAAAGCCCTTGAAGGGCTAAATTTGTTGTATAGCTGTTTATGCCAATCAATTCCCTTAGTATTTTCTTTCTTTGTGTGCTTATTTATTTTGTATTATGAGCTTAGGAAGTTTAAATTGAGAAGAAAAAGAATGGAAGGCTAATTTAAGAGCTGTTCTGGAGCATTTTACCTCTTCAGATGTAAAGATGAGAGCATAAATTAATAGAATCAAAGGGAGATATTCTTTTTTTTTTTACTTTTATGCCATTATCTCAGTTGTTGATTCAAGATACATTTTAATTATATATTTTGTTTCATTTTTATAAACAAAGTCATTGTCAGAACACATTAGCGTCTTATTACAACTTATGTGATTTAGAAATATGCTTTATGATATTTAAAAAATATATCCATATTACCTTCTAGGGTTCTTTCCACTTCTATTACAGACTACAATACTTTGTCTTCCACAGCAAGACAGAAAACTTTCTAAATATCTCACATCCCTTTTAAAGAGTTGCTTTTATCATACTAATAATTCATTCAAATTATTCATAGTGAATCATCCCATAAGAAATATTGGTGGTTATTAATCTTTGTTCTTTTCTTTTTTAAAAAAATATATTTTATTGATTTTTTTACAGAGAGGAAGGGAGAGAGATAGAGAGTTAGAAACATCAATGAGAGAGAAACATTGATCAGCTGCCTCCTGCACACCTCCTACTGGGGATGTGCCCTTGACCGGAAGCGAACCTGGGACCCTTCAGTCCGCAGGCCAACGCTCTATCCACTGAGCCAAATTGGTTTTGGCATTTGTTCTTTTCTTACTTACCCACTACTTTACTGATATTCTTTTATTCAAAATATCAGAAGATTCCTTAGGTCAATTACAGGTTGGCATTTAATTGTGAATTGAGTAAAATGCTATAAATAAATCATATCCAGAGGTATTCAGCTGTGGTCATTTTTATATTAATAAAACAAAGATGTAGAAAGGCACAGCACTTTATATTAGAATAAATAACATGTAATTATCCTACAAAGAAATGTGAAATGATATAAAAACCTTTCTCTTTGCTTCATTGACTATGCCACAGAAAGGTAAACTGATCATTTATTAAACAATATAGAAATACGTCAAATCTATCTTTAGGTAGTTTTTGAACTAGTTAAAATCAGAACAGGCATAGCATTGAGGTTACTGAAATAATGGACAAAGTGTGTAAAATGAAATTACACTCAAAATCAGCATTGTAGAAGATGCAGTGATTTCTCACAGTGTTACAAGGAATTTCAAATTCAGCTCTGAGGACCATGTGAATCATAGCTGTAAGGATGCTGGACATGTTATAATAGTATATGCAAAGCAATGATGTAGTTACATGTTACAAGATCACAGAGGAAGGAGAAAACAATTTTTATTTTGCAAACTGATATTTTTCCTACAGCAATAGGTCTGATTTCAACAGGTAAGGATGGGCTAAATGAATTCTTAGTGGAGAGAACACAATGGACCATGAGTTAAAACCTCAGGGGTGTAATTTTGAGTACCAAAAAGAGTTTCCAAACAAATGGATTACATGGTTTATAGGACAATATAGACTAGAAATATCAATTTGAGAAGTTGGAAAGTGAACAGTATTACTAGCAGACAGAAAGAGATACCAGCAAACCCATGAACAAGCCCATCCATGCTGCAGGAGCCTGGAGAAGCTGAGCCATGTTGGGTTGAAAGAATCAATATATATTGTCCCTTTCACCTCTTGACTTATTTTCTATCTAAGCCAATAAAATATAATTTTCTCTTTCTGAAGGCCCTCTTCATTTTAATGTATCTATTAACCAACTATGCCTCCCTTATGTGGGTGAGGATACAGTTTGGATATCAGAAGTTTATGGAATTAAGTATTGTCATGGAGCTAAATATTGTCCAGAGCAGCCCCTAAGTGGATAGGAGAGCTAGAGGGTAGTGCTATAAAGCTGAAGTGGGCCAGCCACCCACCATAAGGTTCAAGGCTAAGGCCACTGATGAGGTCTCTACATCTGTGCTTGCTTTCCAAGGCTGCCACCTGCTTGCCCTTCCTGCATAAAAGCAGCTACTCTCTGCATTCATTCCCTCAGGCTACAGCAGTGGAAAGACAATGAGCTCCCAACTATAAAAGCCAGTGTAGCAGCACGGGGTCAGCAAGGCTCTGCAAATCACCAGGACTAACCAGTGACAAGTATTTCTGTGTTTATTCATAAGTGAACCATTCACAATATCTTATAGTCATTTGATCGACCCCACATGACCTCCTTATCCACATGTTGTTTAGCTTTCCGTGTTCCACTGTTTATCATCTAGGTCTCAAGTTTCCTTGGGCAAAACACCGGCCCTAACAGGTCTTCAGAGATCTCACCTCCAAATATGCAGACCCAAACTCCACCATTCCAGAGCTTGCCCCTATAATATTTTTAAAACTTAAGAATGTCTGCAAGTGTGCTAGCTCCTAAAATAAATGTGAGGAAAGGGGGATGAGCTCTGCAATTCCGTTCCTCTCTCAGACTCAACCAGGAAGGCCATCTTCCCTCCTCCCCTGTGGAGAAATGCAGGAAAGAGCCCAGCTAATGTAACAATGTGTTACGATCATTAATGTCCCTCAAGGAGGAAACAAAAGCCAGAAGAAATGAAGCCCAGCATCTACACCCAAAATGTATTGACATTTTATTTTGCTGGTTTATATTTCTAACTTTTACATCAGTAAAACAAATCTAGAAATAATTAAAAGAGAAGGCCTTTTTTTTTTCTCTTTCCTCTCACTTAACCCAGGAGTAATGATGCTTTCTTAAATTTGATAATGTTGTTAAATATAGTCATTCATTTATTTTATAATCCATTTAGTCAACAACTATATTATGTGGACACTGTAAGTATAAGATCAAACACCGTGGAATTATGAAAATATTCAGGTGTGATCCTATATTCAAAGACAAAATTTAGTAGGGAAAGTACATTTAAATATGACTATAAAATAATATAATAAACCAAAGGTCTGGTGCACAAAATTCGTGCATGGGGGGGGGGGTCCTCAGCCCAGCCTGCATCCTCTCGCAATCCAGGACCCCTCGGTGGATGCCAGGCCTAAACCGGCAGTAGGACATCCCTCTCGCAATCCAGGACACTGCATGCACAGAGACCATAGTTTTCATACAGGTGAAAGGCATCTTGCTGTTGTATGGCAGCTACATTTTCTTGCCCTGATTATAAAAAGTAGTACATAACATGATCCTTCTGAGGCAGTAGTGCCATTTTCCCCATCTCATGGGTGGAAAAACTGAAGCAGAGAGAAGTAATTGGCTTTGTCACACAGTTATAAGTGTCAGAATCAGGGCTGACCACAAAATGTGCAAGCCAGAGTCCATGCATGTCATTGCTGTATAATCCTGTTTTTTCAGTGTTACAGTAGCCTTGCCAGGTTTTAATTTTTAAATCTGAGAGACTGTTCCCAATATATAGGGTAGGGTCCCTAGGCCTGGCCGGTGATCAGGGCTGATCTGTGGGGTAACCAGTGGGCAGGGTGATCCGGGGCCCCTGCTGGCACCCGCCTTGGCACTGCCTGCCAGCTGGCCCTGCCCCCCGAATCACCACCGCCAGTCACCTCATTTGGGGGGCAGCTCCTGCATTGAGTATCTGCCCGCTGGTGGTCAGTGCACATCATAGTGACTGGTTGTTCCACTGTTTGGTCGGTTTACATATTAGGGTTTTATTATATAGGATATCAGCAAAACAAGAGTAATAACAATAAAGTGCTACAGGAGAACCAAACAAAAGGAGTCATTCCATCGTGGAGCATCATGGAAGGGTCTGTGGAGGTTAAAGCGAATGAAGAGGACTTTGGTGGAGACACACGTCCAAGGTGAAGGAGGTGCATTATTTCGCACACCAAATACTCCCACGGTTCCATAACCGGGAACCAAAGGCAGATTCTGCCCTCATAGAGCTTACTTTTAAGGATGAGAAGCACAATAAGTAAACAGATGCAATAAATGTTAAGAGGGGAGGGTTACTATAAAGAAAAGCAGACCTGTCAAGGAGAAACTAATGAATGGGTTAGTGTTATTTTAGTAAGGTGGGTAGGCAAATCCTTTCTGAGAGGGCAATTGTAGAACAGACATTTGAACAAGCATGCTCACATCCAAATCTAAAATATACATGATATGCCTGGCTCATTTGCATGGCCAATCAGTTACTGTGTTTCAACATTTTAAAAATGTGAAAGAGGCTAACAGTGGAAATTTCCCTCCACCCCTGTTCTCTAACCACCTAGTTAATATCCACCTCCCACTTGTATATATCTGCAGAAAAGTATTTCAGGCTAAAGAAGTAGGGGATAAAAACCCCTGAGGTCAGAGTTCTGTTGGTGTATTTGAGAAGATGTAAGAGCTGGAGCAAGAAGAATGGTAGGAAATGATGTTAGAGAGAGAGGCCAGGTTACAGAGGGCCAGTGGGTCTTGGTAAAGGAATAAGGATGTTAAGTGTAGCAGAGGCCATTAGGAAATTTTGAACCCTGGGGTGCCGTGGTTTGATCTGCATTTCTTAAAAAGTTACTCTACCAATATGCAAAATAGACTAAAAGGGATCAAGAATGACAGCTCGGTGGGCCTATTAAGCAGCTATTTCAAGAGTCCTAGTAAAAAAAGAATGATACCTGGGTGAGGATAAATATGTAGAAAATGGTGTATTCTCTGACTCCCCTGTAACCCAAAGATGTGTTTAGGCAGTAATTTACTACCAAACAGTAGAATGAAAGAGTAGCTACACAGTGTTTTTTCTTTGCTCATTCAAGTTCAGGATTCACATTTTTGGGGGGGCGGGGGAGACTTCCGCCATGCATGTCTAAACCATGCGATCACTGCCCCTGAAATTGTTAAGTCCATGATTTGGAATAAGTGAAGTAGTCTTGCAAGTTAGAAGATACAGCCAAGCCGAAACCGGTTTGGCTCAGTGGATAGAGCGTCGGCCTGCAGACTGAAAGGTCCCAGGTTCGATTCCGGTCAAGGGCATGTACCTGGGTTGCGGGCACATCCCCAGTAGGAGATGTGCAGGAGGCAGCTGATCGATGTTTCTAACTCTCTATCTCCCTTCCTCTCTGTAAAAAATCAATAAAAATATATTTAAAAAAAAAAAAAAGAAGATACAGCCAAGTAGGTGTTGAGTACAAGTAATATATTTCATGGAGACTTCAAACCTGATTATAGCTAATAATTATCTGGTGTTAATCCTGCAGATAATCTACAGGATATCTTGAATATCTTTTAGACAGTCCGCCAACATGATTTTAGGAGTACTAGTATCTTTTTAATTAGACCAGAGTCATTTTTTTAAATTAATTTCCCTTCCCTTCAGTAATCTCATTTCCAGGAAGACCTATGGCATGTGTGTGGAAGCCTCATCGGGGATCCATGAGAGCCTTTTAAGTTCTTTGTATATTCTTTAAACTAGGCATGATTTAAGAAGTTAAGTGGAGAGACTGTCAAATCATTAATTTTCTGCGGTGATTGGGTAAGTGGCTGGGTTCCTTAAGCAGATTGCACAATGTTGCTTTTTCAGATGGAGGACTTGCCATCTGAATGCACCCTGTCTCAGAGAAGATAGCTCTAGAGGTTGGGGCTGTGCCTTAGAAATGTAATTTGCTCAACAAAGCATGGCAGCTAAGCCAATAGAGTGTTTGTTGTGTGGTCTTTCTCACTAGGCCACGTGGTAAAGCTCCGAGGACTGGAGAAAGCGAAAATGAATTAAAATGCAATTTTCCCCCCGTAGATATTTTTGAATGCGGACACCATTCGGCTGGGAAATCTGCCCACCGGCTCTTTCTCGTCTTCACCCAGCTCTCCCAACCCTCGACAGACAGTGTACGAACTGTGCGCCTGCCCCAACGGCAAACTCTACCTTTCTCCGGCAGGAGTGGGTTCCACCTGTCAGTTCAGCAGCAGCATCTGCTTGTGGAGCTGAAGTGACTGATTCCTCCTCACACCAGAATAGCCTTTTGTTCCTGTCTGTCTGCTTCACGGTTCTGCTCGGTTTCCCTTGTGATCAGTCCAGAGCTGCTTCAAATGGTCCACGGAGCAACTTCTCCCGGCGTCAGCAGGGATTCGCCTCCACCTTCTCGTGTGAGTTACTGTCCCGCTCAGCACAGAGGGTGTGCGTGGCAGGACAGCGGAAGCTCGTCTTCAGCAGGAAAACTGGATCACAACTTTGGCTCAAAGGGAGAATAACATAGGTGCCTTTGCTACATGAAGTGAAGCACACAGTTTTAGATTTTTGCAGGACCTGGATATGAACTGCACATATGTCCATTACCTAGATGAAATTCCCAGTGTCCAATGGCAAGATGAAATGGTTAACCCTGTGAGAAAACTAACACGACAGTCTGAAAGCACAATTTTCCATTCATCTTTTTAGATGTACACTTCCCCCCCCTCCCCCGAGAATTTTAAAATTTTAAAGCATTAATGTAATGCTTGCTTTACTAAAAATTAAATTCAATAGATGGTTTTTAACAAAACAAAACAAAATAAGACAGAATCCCACCCTGAGTTTTGTTTCTTTAAATTCAATGTGTTGTTACTCTTTGTCTACTATGTCGAGAATTTTGTACATTAGCTAATTTTGAAAGCACTCAGCAATATATTTACAGAATTAACCATATGCCACCATGCTGTCATTTGTCAGGTCTGAATGTCCTTATGTAGTATTTACTTGGCTATTATTGCATGTGACATATTTACTTTTAGCAAAACATCTAATTTATTGCGATATAAGAAAGGATTAAGAGGGGCGTACAGGCAGGTGGTGTGGATCCACATGCTATTTGTTACACGTAGGTTCTAATGGTACAATTTTTGTTTGCACCATTCACTTTATACTTGACTCGGACTGATAAATTCAAACATCCTCTAAATAAATACTAATGTGCTGCGTAGTGCTGAGAATGGATTCACTTTCCATTGGAGTATCATCTTCAGAAGTATATCTATGTATTTTTCACTGGAGATCAATATTTAAGGACAGTGGAAATTAAATTTAAAATTCCTGCTCAAATAGTAAAAGAAATATAAATGTTAACAAATGTTGAAAATGTGTTTACATCATTAGATTCATATTTTAAGGAATTTGTTCTTTCAGCCCTTAACATTTACTTTTGTCAGACTCTTAAGCTGCCCTCCTACCAGAAATCATGGTTTCTTCCATTCTTATTTTTGTAAATTAGCTTCTAAAACACAACACCAGAATACTGTAGGTTCATTTATCATAACACTCCTTGACTCAAAGTTTTTTGAAACTTACAGAATCCAAGAAGGTAAAATTGTATTAAACATTTTCTATTATGGGAAAATGACTTGATTACTATAAGGTAAGTCCTTAATTTTCATATGTCAATCAATCTTCCCAGGCCCTCCCATGCACACTGAGGGACCCTGACTGTATACACTGAAGTTCAGGCCTCTGTAGCCCAAAGTAAAGTGGGAGAGTGGGACTTGTTGAGGTTATTGGGGTAGTAGAAGCAGGAAAATGGGTAATGTAAGCAGTGAACCATTTAGCCAGAATTATCTTCTTTGCATGATCCATCATATCAAATAATTGAGAAAGCTCCATTTCATTAAATAAGTTCTATACTCAGCAGAAGAAGCAGAAAGCTAGTTCAGTCTTAATACTTTTAAAAGAGAATTTAACTTGCGTTTGGGGTTCCTTAAATAAAACTTTAAATCAATATTGGAGGGAGAATTAAGCTATGCTATTGCTGCTATTGCTTAAAAGTTATATCAGAACACGAGACTTCAATTTATTTAAGTTAAAATATTAGAATTTAACATGAGAAATTCTCATAATGTTTTTTGCAAAATACTAATACAAAGTACAATACAAGAAATTTTGAGAAATTATGAATGCTAATCACTGTTATGGACTTTTTAGGAAAACACTACATATTAATTTGCGTCATATTTAAGTTGAAAACACCTAAATTAAAACAATTAGAAAAGTTCTTAATCAAGAGGTAACAGGTTTGTTTTTGTTGTTTTTTATTAGTAATTAGCTGTGTTTCAAATCTCAGCTCTGTCTTCTACCAATCGTGCGCTGATTTAGGCATCTGGGGACATCTCTAAGCTTTCGTTTACTCAACTTTGCAAAAAAGTATTGAATCAAATGGTCTCTTGAGATTCCTTCCACCTCAAACATGTTCTTATTTCAAAAGCAAATATTATAGGAGGTGGAAGGGGCCACAGGAATGTTATGTCATAAGAGGAGAACAGGTGAAAAGAGTGAGGAGACAAAACCCTATAAAAACCAAATCTAGTGAGGGGCTGTCAACGTTCTAATTCAAATATATTCTGAAATGTTATAGAAATAATTAAAAAGAAATACATAAGCTAAGAGGTTGAGGCTATGTCTAGGTGATGTAAAAATATCTGTTCAATTTAGTAAGAAAAAATGTGATACATATGGCTTTCCTCTCCAATACCAAATAATTGGTGACTGGGTGCTTTAGAGTCCTTAGTTTCTAGGTATAGACTCAGGCCCAGAGTTCCAGCTTCTGTTGAAGACACGGAAAATTGCTCTTAAAAGTCCTTCATTTTCTTATCAAAGGTTTGATTCTTTCCTAATAAAGCACTCCCTGGATTGCAGACTACCCAGGCAGATTCATGATCTGTTTTTTCAGTACCATTTTTACATCACAACATATGTAAATAGAGTCAAGTTTATTTCCTTGCAAATTTAATCTTTTCTAAATCAAACTCAGAAAAAAATGATTCTTTAAGTGTAGTACATGAACCCTAAATTTTGCATTCAGTTTAGCTGTAGAAGACAGGAAGGTGGGGAGCTGGGGGGGGGGGGGATGGTAAGAAGGCAAGCAGGTAAAATTGTAAGGAAGAGGGAAGGGTGGGGACTACATCTGATATTTACATCCTAAACTAGGAATGAACAGACTGAGAAGTAATTGAGTTCAGTTGATGGGGCTAAAAGAAAAGAAGCAAAGACGACAAATCCTTTTTTCTTTCAGAATATTTCAGTAAGATACTTCCAAACAAAATACACTTCCAAATTTCATGTTTCTTTGGCTCGACATTGCTAAGATGTCTAGCCTGTACTGCTTTATCCTGTTTTTGTTTGTTTGTTTGTTTGTTTTAGGTTATGAATCATAAGCTTTATAATCTGGTACAAAATTATTTATATAAAAAATTTAAAATAATGCTTCAAATTTTAATGTCAAATTTGATACATTAACCAGAAAAATCTTAGAGTTCATACCCCAAACCTTTGAGAATTGAGCCAGGAGTTCTAATTCTAGTTCTGCTCCCCTACTCATGTGACCTAAATAAATATAATTAATTATTTTGGCCAGAGCTTACCTGTCTGTGAGAGGGGTATATCAAACTAGGAGGATGTTTTTGTTATTTTCATCTCTAAATTTAATTGGTTCACTTAAGACTCAGTAATCTTGAGTTCAGTAGCCCAGTCTGAACTGGCATCATTCATCTCCTCTAGACCTTACTTAACATGTTGCTTATAAATGTTGAAATGCAAATCTTCCAGCGTGCTACTCTCTACTCCTTTTTTCCTATGCTCCCTGTCCTGCTCTTACCATTTGAACATTAAAGTCCCTTTTAAAAAATAATGCTTTTTTTTTGACAGGTTTCAGTAATTTGGTTGACCTTCAAAAGGAAAAGAATATACTTGGATCTTATTAAAAATGACTATTTAGGGAAATAATGGAAACATTTACCAAATGTTGGTACTCTGTTGGTCATTCTATTATTATTTATTCTATCAAACAAAAACGCATTGTGTCTTTTTAAAGGTAATTTGATCAAAAAGGTCAATTGCTAAATTTTTTATAATATGCCATTCAAAATTCCTATGTAATTCTAGCATCTGAATTACTCAATTGGATAGTGCCTCATTTTATAAAATTGGCATTTGATACAATAAAACTTCTAATGAATTATGCCATTGCAAAAATGATATCTCTGAATGAGGCAGCAATAGGTAGAGGGCTGGCGAGTGTTTAATGGATTTACGTGGTTAAATTTTATAGCAGGTCATGTCAAGATCATAACATTCATTAAATTGTTGTAGTTAATGCTACCTAATGGCCAAATTCTGTATAGCAAAGCAAACTCACAGTTAAGTTTTGTATTAGTGAGGTCTTGCCATCTTCTCTCAGTAGCTTTGGTCTAGTTAAAACTGCTCATGTGACCCTATTTAAAGATACTTATTTTCTCTATATACTCTTATACATTATAGTAATGAATATTGCAAAATATCATAAGTAAGATAATATTGTACTTTTATTCTTTTAAAACAATCATAAACTAATGAATGTCCTCCCTGAACATTGTTATTCATATTGTTTAATACTGTAGTTCATTAGTTGTTTAAATCTCAAAGACCAAAGACTGAGATTTCTATTATATTTCACTCTAAAACTCTGCTGCTTCTACTAATTTATTCAAATAAATAGGAGGGCTTATAATTATAATGTGAGATAGTAAACATCCTCCTTGCCAGATTCTGAGCTGTAGATGATTAATTAATGCTTTTGTTTTAGAAGGAAACCGTTCTTAGTGTAGTCCACTTACCTTTTACACATGCCTAATAAAATCCTTGTTATCCACAAAACCAGTATGTAAAGACTATATCCCCAAATGGGCCCAGGAGGGATTTACTCAGCTGAGTTCACACTTTTCATTGCTTGCTAAAAATTCCTTGGAGAATATAATTAATTTGAAATACTTTTAGAACCACAGGGCTATTTTTTATGTTGATTGAAGCGATTCCAATCTTTGAGAAAGTCAATGAAAAACATGAAAGGAAATGAGGTATAATGAACCGTGATTCTTTTTGTTTTTGCGTTCTTAATATCTCATTTGTTTGAATACTTATAAATAAAAGCCAAACAGGGTTAACAAGGTGCAAGGACATTCACTAACAATGGAGATGTGTAATTTTGT